ACAAAACCTCAACCAACTTTTTAGCTTTGTAGATATTTCGGCACCGCTTCCCGTAGGGAAAGTGCTAGTCCAAGATTTATACAAGGCCAAGTTTTGCGACCTGACAATGACTTTGACCCTTTAGGGCCCAATTTTGGCTAACTCCCTGAATTAGTAAAAATTTGGGCAGCACCTCCTTTAGGAAAGGAGGCTCCCTAGATTCTTACTAAGTCGAAGAAGTCATCAAGTCTGGATCTTGAAATCACTCAGTCACATGCAGGCCAAACCACAGACATGCACTCTCTCACCATCCCCAAGTTACCTTAGCAACCAATAGTTCATAGTCTTAAAGTTCAATGATTTATCCCTTATACCCAGCTTACCTAGACCACCCAAACTTATGAAACATGTCTAGCCCAGCCAAGAAGTATACACAAACACAGGGCACAACAACTTTCTCTTCTTTGGGCATATGACTAGGCCATCCTAATCGCCCTGAACTGTTTAAGTATCCAAGGTTTATATAATTGTCTGTACTTAGTCTTTTGAGGTAGCATATAGCTGAGTCGATCATCTTCAGCTCAAGACTCAGCCTGCCCCTTCGTACCACAAGTTTATTCTTAGTTAAGTACTCTCTTCAGTTGGTGATAAACTATAGTCAGGCCACCCAAACTTATGGAACCCTGCCTGACTAGCCTGTTCATAGATAGTATAATAGTAAAGTATATTAAAGTTATAGCCTTCCGGTTCCAGCATGTGCGAGGCGTTGAACCAAGACCACCCAAACTTATGGAACATGTCTTTGTCCTCAACCTAATTTATTTCTCTTAGACCAAAGAAGGAAGAGGTAGAGCCACCCAAACTTATGGGACATGCTCACCTCCTCGTTCAGAAACCAAAGAAACTGTCAAGAACCCCAAATAAACAAGGTCGCTAGACTACCCAAACTTATGGATTTGACTGGCGCCTGAAGAAGCAATCACATTCAGCCCTCACAAGTCAGAGCAACCAGACCACCCAAACTTATGGATTTGTCTGGTTCTCCAGGCAATAGAAAATAAAACACAACACTGGGCCTTCCCAAACTTATGGAACTGGCCCAGCCTTTGGTTGACCCAGTCAAACTTCATGCAATATTGTCTTTCTCTCACCCTTCTCCCAGATGCAATCCCCCAACTTGCGTTCACTCAGGTAAAACAAAGAAGTAAAACTGACATTGTACATGCATTCCTTTACTTTGTCTGGTTATGTCCTGAAATAGAAAGCAAGAATCATAGGAACAAGCAGGCATACATCAAACAAGCTATAGGGGAAGTAGGCAATCATGGGTGTAATGGGTTATACAAATAGAAAGGAATATACCTGATGGTTCCCTGCCTCCAGAACCTCGCCTAGGTTCCGACAGAGCTCCCGCAATCGGTGGGATGACTCCCCACAGAGTCTTGGTGCAGACCTACGGGTTGCAATCCCACCCGCCGCCCTCCTCTCGTAACCGATAGACTAGGCTAAGAGTTAGAAGGGCAGATAACGAGTGGTTTGAGACTCTCAGATCCAAGAAGGGTGCGCTCAGTCTCGCGTGAGAGGGCCTTATTGTCTTCAATCGCCTGAGGGCCCCGCAATGGCAGCCAACTGACAGCTTGGTCAATGAAGGCAAACTGCCGCAGCAACCCCTCCTGACGATCTCCTACTCATAGCACCAAGCCCCTGCTCGTCCAGTCCGACCCCTCCTTTAAATCCCAGCACCTCCACTTAACTCATTCGCTGCTGCACCCCAGCCTGCGTTAACCCTCGAACGCAGCGGTAGTATTCAACAGCGGTCCAATGGAACCAGCAGCAGCACGTGTCTAGCCCGCAGCAGCAGCACTTGTCTAGCCCGCAACAGCAGCACACAACAACAGTTCACCCACTTTCATTCAGAAGCTGCGGTCTGCACGCCGTACGCAGCAGCGGTCTGTGTACAACAATCCACAGTGTACAGTACGCAGCAACAGACCCTCCCTAGCGGCAGCATGTGCCCGACGCGCAGTAGTAACCCGCACACAACGGTGGTGAATCAGCAACAGCAATAGTCGACAGTGCGCAACCGTTTGCCATAGCCTGCAACTCTCAACAGTATGGGGCAGCTAGCAGCGTGTGATAGCGGTGGTCAGCAGCAACCAACAACTACATGCTCGCAGCAATAGTACTCAGTCTACGCGTTCCGGCAGCTGTGCGTCCGCGGTGTGCAGCCTGTCGGAACCTTAGCAGCCCACGCTCGGTCTGCGGCAGTGGCATCTGGCCCACCATATGCAGTATCAAACTGTACTTGACCTACAACTGTCCGCAGCAGTAACCTATGTACAGTCCGTAGTACACAGCCACAGTCACACATCGGCCACAGTCCGTATACAGCCACAGTACGCCGTAGTATGCAGCGGCAGCGCTCAGGGGTGATCCATAGCAATGACGGCAATACCCATTCGGTCCGCAGCAGCAATAGGTCCGCCCCCTGTCCACAGCATGGGTATGATTAATAGCAACCTGCAGCAGTAGCCTGTGCTCAACCTACAGCAGTTGCTGCCAGTAACACCAACCCGTGCCCGAACGCAAAAAACAGTAGTAATTGCTGCCAGCTGCAGCAATAGCCCACACATAGCCCCCACAGCAGCCCATAATCAGTTCCCACGGTGTGCAGCGGCAGTCACCAGCATGCCTTCTTATCCTTTCCGACGAGCTCGACCCCCTTTTTCCATTTAGGGGCCTGCTAATATGCCGACTATAGGTAAGTGTCGCATACTGCGTAGCCACACGGGCCCTGCAGGGCCCGTCCCGGACATTCAACCTAAAAGCCTAAAACTTAGGGCTTACAAGCCCCGTTCGTTTCAGCCTGGATGCTGAAAAAAACGAGGGCTTGCAGGCCCTACCTCGTTTCAACCTATTTCTGGGTCTTTTCAGACCCAGAGTTTTCAGCCTGAAACGGAGGGCCATTTTCAGGCCCTCATTGTTTCGAACCGCCCCTAAGACTCAGGCATGGAAACAGGGATGCGGAACAGGCCCAAAATAGCCTGTTCCTCACGTGCTCGAGCAGGAGCTGAAGCTGCAGCCCCTGCCTCCCTTCGGCAGGCTCAAGAGGCACACCTGTAGTACATAGGAGGGTCCCATGCACTTCACGGGTAGGTAGTGTCAGTAGGCAGTAGTAGTCTTCAGGATTCAGCCGCAACACTCAGGAGGAGCGTTGCAGTAGTCTTCAGCGCTAGGCAGTAGTGGTAGCGTTAGCTGTAGTCTTCGGCGCTGGACGCCATAGCTGTAGTTGTAGTCTTCAGCGCTGGGCGCTGATAGGTAGTAGATCATAGAGTGTGAGAGAGACTGGCGGAGGCCAATGTTATTTACCTGTGGCGCCATCGCTCCAGCTCCATCTTCGTGGTACCTGCATCAAGGCGCCAACTTCACAGGTTAGTACTGGATACAGAGAGAGAAAAAGTTCTTCTTCTTCCTCTTCTAAGTCCACCTTCTCTTCTCACCCTCTCGCCACCTGACTTCTCAGACTACGACAGAGAGAGACAAAGTTGTGACTTGAGACTTGACGACATTGGATCCAGACTTGACATTTGGGATTCAGACATTCCGACGAGGGACTATTTGGGCTTGTGCCGAAGACTTGGTGTWGACGRCATTCCYATYTTCCCCCTCCTCTTYGTCTATCCCTTTCCTCTTCGTCTGTGTATGGTATGGGCTGGCGCAGTCTTCCTGTGTGAAGCGCCAGGCCCATTTCACACCATGTAACGATGATGATGATGTNTTCCTCTTCGTCTGTGTATGGTATGGGCTGGCGCAGTCTTCCTGTGTGAAGCGCCAGGCCCATTTCACACCATGTAACGATGATGATGATGTATGTTCAGGGCTGCATTTCAACATTGATTGTTCGGATCACTGGTATGTAAGTCTTCCGTTGTGCTATCTTATACTTTTTATTGAAAGGTCGGTTCTTGTTCTGGTTTGCACATTACAGTATGCAACAGTTTGGTATCGGAGCGGACCTCTCATACAAAGGACCCGCTCAATCAAGTAGCCAACTTGTGATCTATTGATCACTCACTAGTAACGCAAGTACGACTTAGTCAAATCTCTGGAAATTTTTTCTCGCAACAACTATCTGAAATTTTTTATATTCCCATTTTCGTTCTATCTGAAAATTTCTGATATTAGTTTTTACGTGACAAATATCTGAAAATTTCTGATAAATCGCATTTCGTTTTGTCTGAAAATTCCCGATAGTAACAATTCGTTTCTCTAATATTTCGCATACATAGCTGAAATTTTTTAAGTTAGTACTTTCGTTCTCTAGGCATATTGGGATAACGATAGAAGTGGTCATATTCTCGGAAACTGAAATTATTCTTTTCTGAAAATCGCATTTCCATTCTATCTCGCAAAATTTTTTTGAAAACCGAATCTTGCGAAGCCTACCAATATTGTGTTAGGCATATTCGGAGGTTGCTATATTATCAGAAACTGGATTTCGTTCTTTTTTTTAAATCGCATCTTTACTCCATTTCGCAATTTGCTTTTTTTCAAGATCGCAGTTTGTAAAAGCCAAAACTTTGCGGCACCTAACCTAGATCTCGTTCATAATACTCTTCTAACATATCCTACTCATCATAAATCGACAGATATATATAAAAAAAAAAAAAAAAGGAAGTAGTCCTCTTTTTATTTTTATTTTTTTATCTGTTGATTAGAGCCGGAGGAAAGTTTTGTTGGGTTGGTTACCTCCCTCCGTTTTCCCTCCCACCCACCCCTTGCATGCACCCCGTTTCGGTACAGTGCCACGTCACAGTGCCAGATCAGCAGTGCCACGTCAGCAGTGCCACGTCACAGTTCCAAGTCACAGTGTCACGTTAGCAGTGCCACGTCACAGTGCCAGATCAGCAGTGCCACGTCAGCATTGCCACATCAGACATAGTGCCACGACAGCAGTGCCACGTCAGACATAGTGCCACGTCAGCAGTGACGTCCGACACAGTGCCACGTCATCAATACCACGTCAGACACAGTGCCACGTCAGCAGTGCCACGTAAGCAGCAGTGCCACGTCAGCAACATGACGGGCCTGCCAGGCCAACTGGCCAATGAGACCATTGCCGCCTACAAGCAGCGTTGCCTGGCTCAGATAGAGGCTGAGGAACAACGCCTGCTGGTAGTCGAGGCTGCCCGCGTACAGGCTGAAGAGGCAGCAGCAGCAGAAAAGTTGCGGCTACAGGCCGATGCAGACGCGGATGCCCAGGCTCGCCGCAAGGAAGCCCAGGATCTGCTGCAGCGGCATGAAGCCAACAACATCGACAGACTCAAGTACTGGCATTTTAAACCGAACGGCGACGAGGCAACACCGGAAGAGAAGCACAAGGAGTTCCTCTCCAAACTCGTGACGAGGTTGTTATATGCTTGCAACTACCGAAGGTCAGAGTTGGAGAGATAGTATCAGGAGTTGGCGACGCTCCGCCGCACGGTGCAAAGCCACGAGGATGCAACTCGGGCACTCAATGCCCGATTGTTGGACCTGGAACAAGCTGTACCAGGACCAACTGCTGGAGCTTCCAGCAGTGCACCCTCAAGCCGCCGACTGGAGGACCGCGTTGACCAAGTAGTGGCAATGCTCGGCGACATCAGCACCTTCGCTGCACCGACCACCACCATCAGCAGBCAGCTGCATACATTGAAGACCGAGGTCCAGAAGCTGCAGTCGACGAACGCGGACGACAATCCGAAGATGTACAAGATGCCAACTTTCAACCTGGAGAGGTTCGACGACTACACGTAGCAGGATCCCGTCCTCTGGTGGGAAGCATTCACAACGCAACTTGGGATACTGTCAGTAGCCAAGCATGTGTACATCGGCGCCCTGTTCCTGAACTCAAAGGGCGGATGCCAGACCTCGTTGAGCCACTTGGCAACCTCCCATGGCGTCGACGTACCAGACTTGAAAGACATAATCACATGGGAGGAACTGACACGGCTGTGGAAGAAGCAGTTCATCGTCGACGACGCACCGGCACTCGCCATCAACTGTTTGTTCACCATGTCACAGGGCAACACAGCAACACGGGACTGGCTCACGGAGTGGCAGAAGATTGCGGTTATGCCCAATCTGAACCTTCCATTCGAGCATCTACGCCGTGAGTTCTACAACAGGTCATGTGCTGCATTGAGCCAGGCTCTTGGTGATCGTGAGCAGTACGCCACCTTCGCTGAGATTATCGACAAGGCGCGAGAGATCATCAATACAAACAGGTCAGCTGCACACGAGAAATCAACATCATGGCAACCGACCTATGTGGAGAAGGTACGAACTAGTCCGCGACAGCAGCACTTCGCTGCAGTCCATCAGGATAATAGAGATAACCCAGCAGCCACTCCAGCATCAAGGGACGGAGATCAGGTGGCCGCTCTCCAGCCGCGAAGCACCAACAAGTCCCGCAACAATGGGAAGGCGAAATCCGCATCGCAGGCCGGAAATGGACAGCCAGGATAGTTTCCATGGGTCAAGTTTGGCTTGACCGAGGCGGAGTACAAGGTCCGCGGCTGCTACGGCAGCTGCTATTGGTGCAACAGCACCAAGCACAAGACCTCCCTGTGCCAAGATCAGGGCAAGGAGGATGTGCGACACTGCCTCAGCTCGGAAAACTGAGCTCTGCGGAAGGTGAGGCGACTCCACCTTCTACTCCGCCAGATTCGGCCGCCTTGCTAGCGGTCTCCTGCACATCTGGGGAGAACGCGAATGTCACAAGTTCTCGTTACACTTACGAGGACTATGCTGTCCACTTGGTTCCACCGCTGGACCAACCGCTCCACGTGCAACAATCCATCGCATGCATGGTTTCATCACCATCGGCAACGGATTCGGCAGCTTCGCCGCAATCTATCGCCGTGGATTCGACGTCATGGTCAAGACTTGAAGAGCTCGACCC